TAAAAACAATGAAGTATTCATTGAAGACACTAGACTATTCAACATCCTTTCATTCATTTGTTTAGTCTGGTCTTTACTATTGAATAAAATGATTGTAACATGTCATGAACTAGTGTAAGAGTTATTTCAAAATAATTAGCATTTTCTGGACATTTTTGTTTTTACTTTTCAAGTACTGAAACTAATTATTAATAGTATATATTTTATGTGTTTTATTCATGCAAGCCTAAAAAATTATCAATTACATCAGAGGCGGTAACATGAGCGGTGCAGGGTAATATAATTGTAAAATCAGGTTCAGACCATCCTTGAGAACTTGGTACATTTTAATTAACCAAGGTAAAAAAAATTAACGTGTTTTCGATAAAAATCTTGAATTTATAACTTTTTATATGCTAAAGAATTTGTTTAATATTTTATTCAAAAATTTACGCTATATTAGAATTATAAGAGTATGGCCCATCGTTTTTAAGATTAACTGAAGGTAAAAGGCAATGTTTTGCTCATCTTTACATTGTTGCCGTGCTACATACGTTCAATGACAACTTTTTTAAGCTACGTCATCAGACCTTATCAAGGCATTACCAAAGCTCAATGTCTTACAATGTTAAGAATATTAATAGCAACGAAACAAGATATTTGAAATAGGCCAAGTATATTTTTTCTAACTAAAATCTTTCGTGAACGATAAATAAGTACAAGCACGCAAAAATTCCTGCATAAATATGATTATATCAGAATTTCATATCAAACATTTAAGAAGTTATGTGGCTGATTAAGACCCGAGGTCTGTAGGCACAGAAGATTGAAGGCCTCTCTACATAATTTTACATTATAAAATAATAACGTATAATTGTATCTATAGAATTATAAATTATGAGTTGAAATAGACTTCTTACATACAGTACCTCCACTGGACATAGACTTATAATATTAAGAGATACCAAGAAAATCAGAGCAAAATAATATTTAAAATACAATAATAACGTTGATTTTTTGGTACGTTTTGGAAATTAATCCCTTAATTGTGAAAGTCCCATTATTAATACAGTCAGGGGAGGATTTTGACACATAAATTAATTTGTTATACCATCAACGTTAAACAATGTAATTTCATGTATATTAACGAAATATTAGTGAATAGATATAGGCTATAAATAAGCTGTGCTTGATATGCGTCATCATAAAGAAACTTTCTGATGAGAAGAAATTCCGTATTGTGGACCTACTGAAGAAAAGATTTTCTGTCGAGAAAACAGCAATAGAAGTTAGAATGTAAGAGTTGAAGTGATAAAAAAAAATAATTATTATACTTATCAATAATGAAATTTTATGGATCTATACGAGGAAGAAAGTACACACATTACAATAATAAGACTAGAAATGTGGCTATAAAACTTCCACACGTCTGCATTATGTACTGTAGTGTACGTGGACATTTAATAAACGTATTCCTATAGGCATGTGAAATTTTTTGTTTTATTGAAAAATTAAACATATAAAATAAATATAACAAAAATTCTGTAATAAAGTCACATGAGATTAATCTAGATCAAATCATATCAGATGTAAATAGCCTGTACAAAAATACTATATATATTTTCTTTTTAATTAGGGAAATAATTTAATAGAAATACGTAAAATAATATATTAGACATAGAATTCAAATGTGAAATTTATTTTACTTTTCATACTTTATAGGTTTTCTTTTTAATTTTTCAATATCATTTTCTGTAATGTTAGGCGGAATCATTCTTTTTCTTTAAGTTATGAACCGATACAAAAATAGGTGCAACAACGTGTTAAAGCCATCGAGTTTGTGGTAAAAAGACGTTGATCTTGATTCTACCAAATATTAATGGTTTTCTAATGACTCCTTTAGCATTTTTTTTATCTTTTTATCAATGAACTTCACAAATGTTCACAAATTCACGATGCACGGTGTGACAGCCGAGTAAAACTTTAAACTTCTGATAAGTTCACCTTTCGAATAAATGTTTTACGTAAAAGCCTGTATATTTTTTATATAGAATCATAATATACAATTTTAAAATATGAGAATTTCCATTTAAGAAAATGTAGTTGACTTTCATATCGATTTTAGCGTAATTTATGACTAAACTGATAGTCCTATCTTCTGGGTCTCTCAAAACCATAACGTTTCTCCAATTCGAAAAAGTTGACATTAAAAAGAAAATTAGGTCAAATATATTTTATCTTGTATCTTTTGGCTGTTTTTTGTAAACAACAGAAAGAAGGTTAGCTAAATTCAAGTAAATAAATAAAAAAATGAATAATAAAAATGCGAGAAGGTCAAGCAAATTATATGCAAGATTCAATAATTAGAGATTATACATTTGCTCTACGTTTCCAGCATTTTAATTGGACTGCAATTTGAAAAAAATTGTAGACCTATACATTACCACCATCCTCCATCTGTCACCCTGTCTGTCTGTTCTTTCTTAATATCGAGAACGAAGTTAGATAGATGAAAGTTGAGAACAGCTTTAAAAAGCTTAGGCGCAGGAGGCCCCGATTAACTATATACGAACGTCTGATATTTACTGGAAATAGCGTTACTTCAATTCAAAAAATTTTCCCTTGAAATTTTGGACTTGGACTACATTAAAACGTAGAGAAAGCAAAAAAATTCGAGAATAATTTCTCTATTAGCACGATTTTGTTCACCGTTTGAAGCTTAATGATTCCTGTGCTTTTTCTCGAAAATTTAAGAAATATTGCAGGGAGGTTTGTTTATTAGGAGGATTGATGCTATTAAATTTTAATGGTTAAAGGTTGAGCGTGTTGGGAGATAATGGTGGTCGTGTGTATCTCCAGTAGGGTCAGACTTAATGAAGATATTTCTCGTTATTAGCATTTATAATTTTTTTATAAAACTCATCCCTACCCTGAAAATTAAGCTTTTTGTCATTTTATAATAGTTAAAAATATAAGAAGTTTTAATAAAATATGATAACAGATAGGGTCACCAAAATTTTAAATATTGCCGGAAAAGTTGAGAATCCCGTTGCTAGTTTATCTGTATATAGATAAGAATATATCAATAGATAATATCGTAAGCATCAGAATCCTCCCAAAGAACGCAGGAGACTATTTTAAAAAATTGTAAAACGTTGCAAAGAACATTTAATACGAAAAACTTTACATTTATTTGCATACTTATATGTTTACATATATAATTATAATAAAATTATCTGATCAACGTAATTATTTTATTAATAATATTAACATACAAAGAACATATGCATTGGGAGGATTTTGACGCAGACAAAAAATCTATATCATATTTGTGGAAAAGGTACACGTCAATAATCAGTACAGTATAGCCTCCTTTGGCCTTTAAAACCTTCCTAAAGCATTAATAATATTGCACCATTGCAGGAATATTATTTTGTTCCACTCATTCTGTACACGTTCCCAAAATTGCTTTCAAGTGAGCTGCATAGTCAGACAAGAGACGTTTAAGATGGGACCATATGTTTGTTCAATCGGGTGCCATCAGGCGATTGAGCAAGCTAATATTTAATCCCAAAGCCATGACATTGCCTTCGGGATGTATGATTTGGATGATTACCTTGCCGATAAATGAAAGAGCTCCTATCAATGCGGTAATAATCAACAGTTTTTAACAAACAGTGTTAAATATCTTACTCGTATCACCGGTGACCAGTATCTCCGCCATATTTAGGGTATTACAATTAATTTGAAATTCTTTTTATATATCCATATCTTTAAAATTTATTTAAAGATTTTTCCTAAATAATTAATTTAGTTATATTGTTCAGTTATTCATTATTTAGGCTATACAGCTGTTTCTTTATAATGTAAAATGATATGGATCTTATTTATATATGCTATTAATTTAAATGTAATGAAAATAATAAAAATATTTAAAGTAATTTAATAAGAACTTATATGAAATATTTTAGATTTTATAACAGTTCAAAGAATACAATTTATTAAGATTTTTTACACTGCACGTTGAAGTTTAAGTGCTTGATTTTGTTATTCCACTGGAATTAAATTAAAATATTTGCATTATATTTACACAGATAATTGATTATATAGTCACAGTGGGTCTCAGTTTACTTGATATTAATGTCAGGTAAACGTAAAGAAAATATATGGAATATTAGAAAATAAAGTTATTTATTATTCAAAGAAGAATTTAAATTGTATTATAATGACTATTAAATTTACATAAGATATAAACAGGCTTTTTCAAACAGCTGAATGATGAATACAGTAAACAAGTATATGCTTACTTGTTAATCTATTCACATCTTTCTGTGATGTAACTCTCAACTAAATGCGATACAGAGTTATAAGTTTTTGAACTTAAAAATGAAAATAGAACAATTTTCAGAAATATTTTATTAAAAAAATTAGTTATTTTTCCTGATAGAATAAGCTTTCTTTTAACATTTAAATTATGTTAAAGAAAAGCTGAAAATTTTTCCTCAACTTTAAAACATTAAAAACTTCTCTTGACGTCAATGTTAATTCGTACATCATTTAATATTAGAGCTTAAATTAGAAAAAATTACACAATAATTAATTTTTTAAATGGTATAAATAAATATAGAGCTAAACAATTGTATTTATTATCATCAATAGTTAAAGATATATATTATTTTTTTATTACAGTTAATAGTAGATACTTTGATTTACAAAACAAAGATTATATATTTTATTACTAAATGAAAAATTTTGTTTCTGTAGAAATCAGCCAATTATATATAAAAATACATTTATGAGCTTGCAGCTTACAGGAAAACATGTTTCAATTGAGAGAAAAATTTTAACCTTGTAAAATCTTATTAAATAAAAGCGACTTAAAGTTAAATAATTTTGCGGTAGAATTTATAATGAAAATTCACGTTTATATTGTAAAATTTGCATTTATATTTTTATAGATTATGAAATTACTTCCTTATAAATTGTAAATTAAATTACAATTCCATTATTAAACTTAATATAAACTTAATAATAATCTATAATATAATCACATACAGATTTTAAAATGTTATTATATAAGATCACACAATTGCATAGTCTAAAAGATTTCACAATAAAAATAATTAAAAATTTTTTTTAAACGATTTTTTCCTTATTTATTTTAAAAAGGAAAATTTAAATTAAATTTTAGAAAATAATACATTCCGTACATATATTTAAATTGTTATCGTTTTCTTTCTTTTAGTTTAATTTTCAGACCATATTTTGGTCTTAGTATCATCTCTCCAGTAATGGCGAGCTTCTTGATGTTATTTTCCATACTTTCTACCGTGTAGTGGCGAAATATATGACTAAGAATTACTTTTTCCTCCATTAAAGCTAACTTTTGTCCTATAAAAATATAATGTATTATAATTATCATCTATTTTAAATAATATTCAATGTGACAAACTGTACTTGCCTATACAGTTTCGTGATCCCGCAGAAAATGGAACGTAACTATAAGGATGGCGACCTTTACAGTTATCTGGTAGAAATCTATCCGGATTGAAAATATCAGGATTCGTAAATAAGTAAGGATTTCTGTGAAGTAGATAGGTATAAAGTATGCAAGTTGTTCCTTTAGGTATAATAAATCCATCTGAAAAAAATATTTTTGAAATTTTGGTTAAAAAATATGATATTTTGGATAATGTTTATGAAAAATTTGAGAACTGGTAGATTTCTGCTGCACATTTTCTAAGCATAGTTTCATTTAATGCCTCCAATAAGGATATTTTCAGCTTACGTTAAACATTTTCTAATATTAAGTACATAATGTTCTGCAAAAGGTAAAGGAGTCCCTTATAGAGTGCCATGAAAATTCATCGTTTTGATTTAGTGGGATACAGCAACGCGACTCATAAGCGATCTGTGAAAGAGATGTATCTCTCAGAAGGACTTTCTATGGGAAACTGGCTCCTATTTAGATGTTAGACACGTAAAGGAAAACTTCACGTGTCTCCCGTTGTGGGAAGCAAACCTGCGTCCAACTACCGGTGTTCAGGGGTTTTATCCACTTGGGCAAAAGAGTATCCAAGAGAGGTCTTCAATTCTTGTCATTCGTACTCGGATGGCTCTGAATAACGTGTAGTGTGCCCAGTCCCATGCTAACACAGAAATTATCTCCAGTGAAAGTCATTAACTGGAGATAATTTCGTACACACGTACACATTGGAAAGGAGGGTAGGTTGATAGCAACAGGCAGAAACCTGCCACCAAAAAATTAGATCTCGGATAATTTGAGATCATGTTCTTCAAAATAACTAGGAACCAATGAGTAATTTGAACAGAATTACTTACTAACTTTTACGTCTTCAGATAAGTCTCTAGACATCAAAGGGACAGAAGGAAAGAGTCGTAATGATTCCTGAAATTATAAATATTCATACACTCGCATATAATTGAAAAATACATAATAAAAATATCGAAATTTAACGAAATCTTAGAAATTATATTTAAATAAACCTTAATAACACATTCCAAATATTTTAAATTCTTAATATCTTCAATAGTAACATTTCTCTCGATGTCGTCACCAAAAATGTCATCAATTTCTTTCAGTAGTTTATCTTGAATCTGAGAATGATTTCCAAGTAAAAAAAGAGTCCAGGAAAGAGCATGTGCAGTGGTATCATGACCCTGGAATTTAAAACAACGAGAGCATCTTTGAGAAATTTATATCTAATTATTTTGTCTCATATTTATTCAAAATGACGATAAAGCAACTTGCAGCAAACATAAAGGCATTCACTTCTTCTAAAATGTCATTATCGGAAATTTTACTACCGTTTTCTTGATGATAAAGAAGTAAGTCAAGAAGAGCTAACTTTTTGCTTGAAAAAATATAGTTTTCTTCATCAACAAAAGTTCCACTGAAACTTGATTTTCTCTTTAGAATTATCTAGAAAATAAAAGAAAATTTTAGTTATAATTTGAAACTGTTTGTTTACTATTTTATACTGGTGTAGCTTGGTGCAATGTTTTTTGTCTACAACATTTATAGTATGATATGAACGTAATTTACTTCTATTGCAAATTCCTTAAGTTTGTCCATGGTATCTTTTGTTTGTTTGCCTTTTCTTGTCATATAAAATATTCTATCCGACCAATACCAAGGCCTTAAAATTCTGTAGGGAAACACTTCTCCGATTCTAAAAAAGTTTTAATTTCAATAAATTTTTAACTTATAGTAATAAGAAAACATTAAAAAATGAACAAATAAAAAATTACACAACAGTTTTTTATAAATTTAATAATATTTAAAAATTGTAATTTAATTTTTTGTGCGTTGAAATAATAGTACATTGTGTTAAAAATCTCACTTTAACTTTACTTTCCTCTTTCCTTACGCCTTTTAGAAATATTTATTTATATTTAAATATAAAAATCATATTTCTGTACTTATGAAAATCTATTTTATATAAAAATACTCTTAAAATTTCTTATTTATATACTTTTAATGTAAAATTAGTTTATTTTTATTTGATATTTTTAATGTTTATTAAAGAAAATAAAATAAAAAAAAAATAGTTTTTCATTAAATCAAATTAAATTAAATTTTAAAATATTACTAATTTAATAAATTAGTAAAATAATTAATTAAACAATAGCAATTCAATTCAAAACAATAAATTTACAAAATGTAGTGTGCAAATTATACAGAAGACGTAAACTAAACAAGTTTGTTAACAAAAGCCAGGAAATTAGCGATGTAAAGAAGATGAGAAAAATAATGTTGTATAATTAACGTAGAAAGGTAAGACCTTAGTTACAAAACTAATTGTGAAAATAATACAAAAATTTTACAAAGAACAAGTAAAATTCCAAAAATTAAGTACCGTAACATAATTAACAAAATGCATTAAACATTTTCTGAGAAATATCGTGGGTTCGCACCTCGTCCTAGCGAGATACGAACCCTCGACTGAACTCCCAGTATTCATGGAACGGAACCGCTTGGCCACTGGTGGGCCGAATAAGTTCTGCAAACTAATATTCTAACTGTCAAACTAATAATTTACAAATTACTACCGATTGCAAATATTAAACAATTAGTTTCCAAAGCATTTATTCCCTTAAAGCCACTGATATAATAATCACTTAGTTAGTGAAATTATTCCAAATGTTTTTGAATGTTAGTGAAATTATTCCAAATGTTTTTGAATTTAATATTTCCTTATTGCTTTTGTAACAGCTGTATATTCATGCACTAAAATAATGTTTTATTTATATTAATTATAAAAGCTATTACAGGGTGCACCATAAGTCATGCATTGTAACTGTAATGTAATGGGCTATTTCAGAACAATATTGATGATCGGGCAGAACAGTATCCAAGTGTTGGAAGATGGAAGAAGATTCTTGATATGGCTGATTTTGCAAGAAATGTGGAAAGATTAAATCTGCCGTCTGAATCTCCGTGTGCAGGAATATGGCAATCACATCGAAAATATCATTTGAACAGATATTATGCCTATGATGCCTGACATACGGGACACCCTGCATACTCAAATATTTCAATTTAGGTTAAATTTACATTAATGAATTTTTGCAAATTCTGAACGTATCGAAAATACTTACTTCACTATTCCATGCAAATATTGACAATCTTTATTTCTCATCGAATTTAATTGAATACCTAAAGTTGTTTCTGGAAAGATTCGATTATGTTTATTTTACGTATTTTTAAACGTTTTCTTTACAAGAATAAGTGAAAATTTTACCACAGACAACATCCAAAGCGCATCTACTCATATAAGGTATGATATCAACGGTCTTTCCATCAAATTCTCGCAAAACTTCTACTAAAATTTTCGCATTTTCATTTAAAATTGGGCGAAAATCGTCTAATATTCGAAAATGAAACGAATGAGTTAAAAGTTTTCTTCTCGTTCTCCATTTTGATCCGTTGCTATAAATTATACAATTGCCACATTAGTATATAGCATAAATTATAATAAATCATTGATTTTAATTTACACATGTTTAGAAATAACATATAAAGCATTCTAATACCTGGTTAACAATCCTTCCATCAACCAAGGTTTCAAAAAGTCGTAACCGAACTTTTTTTCTATGTTAGTATTGCTGTTTAAAACTGCCTGCAAATTAAATTAAACTTTAATTTTCAAGTTATCTAATACAAGTACACTATTTATGTAAAAACTCATTGTCCGGCATCTTAAAAATTACGAGATCTTGCTTGAAATTCATGTGATTACAAAAGTAGGTCATTGGAAAATCATTGCAATAGATGAAAAGTTTCTTATAGATATAAAATATTAAAATTTCTCGAATATTTTCGAGAAAGTACTCAAGAATTTGTAATTTAACATAATACAAATCTTAAATCTCTATTTTTTTATTTAACTTTTTACAAATCAGAATGTGTCTTCCAGTTCAGGGACGGTTTAGAGACGACAGATAAGAGTAATAGATAGGTCATAGCTGTTTTTACGGTTTTTGAGTTATTTATAAGTGGCATACGTTGATTTGACAAAACGAATAATTCGGCAATACTCTGGAATCATAAATTGGTGGGAAATCCATGTTTCACCTGAACTATATAGTCTATTAATACAGCCAAATCTGTGAACAATGGCAATTGATGGGAACATAAAAATGAGCACCGTTTAGAAATAGCCACAATTGGGAGATAGCCATTACTGGAAATTCAACTGTAATTAATTTTGTGTTTAAAAAAGATCACAATCTTTATGGTAATTTTTAAATACTTGTTTTATTTCTTTCTAGATAAAGAAATCCTTGAAATATCTTTATGTTGAAATTAAAACCAAAGTAAACAAATAATTGCCAATAACATCTAACACATATTCCTATAAATGAGTAACTTGTTTTTGATTCTCATACATTAACGAGAGAAGAAGCAAAGGGTTATCCATTTTGAATTATCAGTTTAGATAAAGAATAGTGTATTTAACGAATCCCTATAAACAGGGACGTCTGGCAATTGTAGGATGGAGATAATTCTACAATAGTCTAATTATAACTTTTAAAAAAATAGAGGAAGAGTAAAAAAGAAGCATTTTAATTTTATTCATGAGAGATCTAAAATTATCAGATAGAATGGTAAGTAGGCCTAATAATGCTTCTTATCAGCAGGTAGTTTATAACTTGGCTTTAATAATGTTAAAAATAAAGGTATACTATAAGTCAGTTTCATTAGAACTAAAATTTTAAAAAAGAAAAATTTTTAATATAAGTTTATTAAGTAATGGAAGAATAGGATAGAATAAAAATCATTTTTAAATAAAAAAGTTTTAAATGATGGGATTAGGGACTAAGAAGAAGAAATACTGACAGATTGCTTTAATTAAAATGATCTGTGGGTGGGAAACTTGTTTCAACTGTACACAGTAGCAACCTTGTAGACCTTGACAGAAGGATTTTATATCACAACACTAACAATATAGATAGATGTAATATACAAAAATGACATTAAAATGCAACCAATTTAATATTTCATCATACTAAATGAAGATTTTCATCCTTGAATATAAAAATGCAAGTGTCGCTTCGGAGAAGTAATAATTAAAATATGAGTTGCTTGTTTCTTTATAACATTTCCTGAAATCAACTGCTGAGAGAGGTTAACAGATACAAATAACCTGAATCCGAAGAGACTCAGAGCTTATAAAAAATTATAATTGATTGTAACTTTCATCATATTTTCATAATTTTTGCTAATTTTAAATAAAATAAATCTGCGTTTTTCATTACCTAAATTAGTCCCAATTTAGGTGTTAGCCACGTGTGGAAAATCCGAAAAACCTCACGTGGCCGGCCTATTGGGGAGACACGAACCAACAACCAATATTCTCTGGTTTTATCAATTCGGCCACTCGTGAGCTAAACATAAAATGAGATGATAGATTTAAGAAATAAAAGATTCAATAGAATCATGATCATCCGCGGAAAATCTTTCAAGGAAAAGAAATCTTTGAGACAAATAATTATTCAATACATCAAGTAAACTGTATTTTTATTTAATTACAGTATTTAATTTTTGGGGTGTTTTTCACGATTATAAAAAATACAGTGCTGCATCAAAGCGTCCCACAGGTCGAGTGTGTAAGGTTATATAATCAATTTTACCATAATAATTTGTGTAATTTTTTACTCGATCCTATGGAGGATCAATTGCCTGGTTTGTTCCCTCAGCGGATAACCATGAATTGAATAATATAATTTGTCAAAAAGTAAAAAAAAAATCTTTAGATGCTAATTACAAATTATTAATTGATTTAGAGGATTGAATAAATGAAAAAACAATTTCTGGAAATTGTAGAAAAGAATGAATAGAAGAGTTGAAAAGAATAATATTGTGCTCCGACAATCATGATAATAATTGCATTCTCGGAAAAATTATTCAACAATAATATTACGAAAGTTTTAAGCAGAAAAGACTCGCGGATGTTCTTGACTAAAAACAAAATCTATAAAAATATTAAAACGGACTAAAGCTTCACTTCACTTTAAACAGACACTTCAAATACATAGGTAAACAAAGGAAATTTGTAATACAGAAATTACATCGTATATAAAATATGACTGGCAATTTTTGGCGTGACATGAATTTAAATTCACCTAAATTAAAATTCAAACAATTATATATTAAAAAAATTATAAATTAATTATAAATAGACACTAACCTGAAAGCTGTCCGACGAGAAACAAATTACCAAAGGTCGTAAGCCGATATAAAGTCTTACTATTCCATAACCAAAAAACATTTTGCATGTATTATATAAACCTTTAAATAAAGCTGAAAATTAAAAAAAGTAAGAAGTAATTATAATTAGCCTTCATTTTTCTAAAAAACTTGCTATCAATAAAATTTATTTGTTAAACATGTTTTATTTATTGCTGTCAGAATCAATGTCACCATATTGTTAATCTTACGTTAAGAATTACTCAAGTGCTTACTGACAGATCTTTACAATAGAAAAATAATCTTGATTAATTAATTTCAGTTATATTTTTTCTTTTGAAAATGTTTCATTGTGATAAAATGCAAATGCCATCAGAATAATTTGAAATAATGGAATTATACTTCTTAAGGTTGGATTGATGCTAGAATTGCCGGATTTGGTTTCCTGCTGTAATGATAACGAAAACCATTGCTTACAGTTACGATAGTAGAGTAACCGATTTGTACTATTTAATGTTTCTGACGATTTCTCGATAGATAAATCTATGCCATTCAGCTGCTTGGATAATTGAGGCGTTTAAAACCTTATTGTACTGCGCTGAAGGACCCGCAGGAAGTTTTTTTTTCAGGTGGTCTATCCCAAATACGTCGGGCTTCATCTCTCGCCGCCCTCACGTTAGGCACTAAGTGCCAAGAGTGCAGAAAAAGTCAAAAATAGTCTGATCGAGTTTTGATGATAATACAATTTTCAAAAGAAGTGAAAAATTTCAGTGAAATTCTAGTCGATAAAGCAAGAAATGGGGACGATTTTGCCAAATTATTATTAAAAAAAATCAATCCTCTAACGCGTAGTTTAATAAGTAAAGTCTCCAAAGGTTCATTTTAATCTCTTCGGTTATGCACGCAATCTCCAGCAGTTGCCGTTAAAACTTTAATGCTTTTTAATGGAAAAATCTTATTCTCAAAAATTCTCGAAGACGGAAGTAGATTGAATCAAACAGGTTTTCCCTGTTAGAATAGTATTTAATTATTCTATCAACGTATGACTCAGGATTTCGAAAATCGAACTTATTAATTTTCTACAAATTTTCTATGGTTTTAAAAATTCGTTTTAAAAATTAACTCACAAAATAACATATTTTTTGAATTTGAATTTATACACTATAATCTATATAAATATATATGTTTGGTTAACTGATTTTCGGACAAATTTACATTTTATTAAAATATATAACAAAGTTTTAAATATACTTGTCCAAAAATCAGTTAACCAAAAATATTTATGATTATTAGAAGATAGTAAAATGATCAGAACTGATATGAGGACATGGTAGAGTGATGCCCCTTTGTCCCTTAGCAGACCCCTTTTTGGCATTTTGTTTTTCTTTAAGAAATAAAATACTTAAAATGTTTCTTTATTAATAAAAAGCTATCTTAAAGATTTTATATTAGTAAACATAACATTAATTTTATAAGTGCTGGAAACACTACGGGCACTTAAATTTCCTTTATTCCCAGGAAGAAACCCCTACCTCCCCTCTCTCGACGATCCTGAAAATGGTTTAAATGTACATTTTCCATACGTTAAATTTAACATAGATAATCTTATTTTCAACGGTCTTTTTCTAAGACCGTTGAAAATAGTTGTAAAAGTTTTCACTCGAAAAATTACAATAAAACTAATTTTCTTTAAAAATAGTTAACTAATTTTTGGGCTCGCCCTTTATATTAAAATATACTTAGCAAATTGTTAATAATTAAATTTGTAACTTACCGTGTCTTTTTTAAATTATTTTTTACTTCACAACAGGGTGCATAGATAGACACTGGGCGTTTTTAACATCACTCTTTATTCCTGAAAAAAGAGTAATGTTAAAGATGCTCATTGTCTACCTATGCACACTGTTGTGAAGTAAAAAATAATTAAATATGTGTTCTCGAAAAAAGCTTTAAAAGTTTTCGAATATAAAAATCATATTTAAATAAATATTTATTTTTAAAACATAATTTTTAAGTGAAATCTAAGAAAAATTAAATCAACTTACCGACATTTGTATCCTGAACTGACAAAAAGACACGGATCATATACAAATTTTGGATAATTGGATGAATCTTGAATCCCGGCAAATCGCGTTTATGGTTATTTTGTTTCTTACGAAACAAATATTTTATTAACCAAATAAGAAAAAAGCAGTAGACCAGTATCCACCAAAACATCTCTGATAAATGCGTAGAATAGTTTATTTTCGGAATATTTTATTAAGTAAATTGTGATTTCATTGGTCACGACAATCTCAAGGACTATGCGTTTTTTCCAAATAATTGTTCAAAGAATATATGCTTCTTTATTCTACTAAATTAAAGAATAAGCTTAATATTCGAGTTTAAAAATCGAGGAAAATTCATAAATTGTATATTTATTTATATAGGAAATAATTAGTATATTTCTAGAGTCAATTTTTATTTATAAATTTTATGAAATTCAATTGATTGCTAACTTTTTAGAAATTAATTTATCTCAGCATTTAATGAAATATTAAAATTTTTTAATAACTTAAAAAGTTTTAATTATGCTTAGAGACATTTTTGATTAAAAATAAAATGTACGTTCTAACTTATTTTATTTAATTGTTAAGATAAAAATGAAGACATAATACATCTCCAGATTTCCTTAATTAATTTTTAAATAATTTAAATAAAATTTACATTTAATTTAGGCTTAACCTTCTTAATAGACTACGTTTACACACTTTCCTCGTGTATTTAAAAACTTACATATTCTACGAAAAACTTTATTGTTACATTTAACGTATAGAAGATAAACTTTTGTTGTGTTTTGTTTTTTCTTATTATTCTTATTATTATTCACGAAAACATTAGTTATATTCTTATTAACACATAAAATGCCAAAATATAGGTCAATACAATATCATACTGGGCTATGCTCCTTTTTATGGATAAAATAGCACGGATATTATAGCCATTTAATATAAATTTATCTGTATTTTTCTCAATTTTTAGGCATGTTGTGGAATTGAAACAAGTGGCTTAAATGATTGTTTTTTTCTTATGATGTTATGCCAACTTGTACTGTACGTCCATCAGACTTTGATTTCAACAGAGCTTCTATCATGTTCAAGATTGCATAAATGAACTGATAAAAATCTATGATAAATACAGTGATAACAAAATAATACACCTACTTATTTTCCTTTACTTTTTATGTTTACTGAAAGAAAATGATTGTTTCTTGAATATTTGTTTTTGTGTTTTATATATATTTGCGATATTGTACTTCCATTTTCAAAGACCCTGTTCTACCCATTTCTATTACGTTTATACAGCTAGCGTGTTGCTCCAAAGCAACACAGTACAGAGATAAATGTATAGACTGAGTGAATTTCTGGGTGTGTTGCATAATTGCAACACATTGCGTTTAATGCGTTAGATCAGAATATACAGCCGCTCCACACCATTTCTTACCATTCGTTAAACGAAGAGCTTAATCGTTTTTATTTATTCTAGACAAAGAAAAGGCCTAATAGAAACTCTAACTCGATAAACTTTGTTTTAATTTCTATCTCTTACATGTTACAGAACTTAAAAATTCAATCAGCATGAAAAATTGTTATTCTGGAAAATATCTTTCTTATTTCCATTAAATATATACAGTATTATGTTTTTGATTTATAGAGCAATATGATTTAAAGTAAATAACTTTTTAGCACTACATGATTTTTCAAATTTACAATATTCAAGATGATCTATAAATCGTGTAATCGTTATATCTAAATAATTTATTTTATTATAATTCTCGGTTTCTTGGGTGAATTTAATAATTGAATTAATCTTATTGGCTTGTTTCAATATTTGAATAGTTGTCGTTATTACACTATTAGGCCTATATGTAATCACTGTGCCATCAACATACCTTGCAAAAAATATAATGCCCTTTAGGTTTGATAAAGTTTTGTCCACATCTAACATATAGATTTCTGTTAATTTCGGTCCAATTACTGAACCCATGGAAATCCCATTAGTTTGGCGTTAAACGTTCTCTTTTACTGTAAAATACTTATTAGCCAGTGCAAAACTAATTAAATCCCCGAAATAATTTGAAACTCCATACTTACATAGACTCTGCATAATCATATCATTATTGAAGAAGGGTACATCGATGTTATATCTAAGCTTATTAACTCATATTCAGGCAAAATTTCTTCTTTTTTTAATTTTGATATTAAATCGTCTGCATTTTTTACGCTGTATTCTGAATTTGGAATAACCTGTAACGACTTTTTAATAAATACTTCTAAACTACATAATAACGTAAACTTAAAATCAATAATTGGTAGGCGTTTATTCTGTTTATGTGTTTTAATGTTCTAATGTTTAATTTAGGAATCCTTACGTTTTCTCTAGGGAGTATTTATTTACTTTAATGTATTGAAATTATAATGCATATAATTATAAATTATAATGAAATTTGATGTATTATAATGCACCTGGGAAACTTTTGTCGAATATATAGATGGAAATTCGTAATGGTAACCTGTGATGGAATATTGTCGGAGTTTGAAGTGTATGCTAAAAACCCTACTGAGGAAGCTTAAATTTTTTTGGCGAAATGCATTTAGGAAGTCTGAAAGTGTAATAAAGTGCTTCTCTGCAATCTCACCCCGTATATTAGAGAAGATTAGCAAAATAGTGAGTGACCTTCCTGTAATCTACTTTTTTAGAAAAGTAGTACTGAAGTGGAAACCAGCAAGATTATAATAATTATTATAACTTGATACTCATTATTTACTTAAACACGCATTAATGGTTTTATTTGTTTTTTTATAAAATATAATTTAATCTTAATAAAATAAGAAAAGAATGAAAAAATCGATGCAAAATTAATTGATTTAATTAATTAAAATGTCTTCTTTGTTGTGAATTTATTTAGAATTTTAGAAAATTCATGTTTTTATGTCATAAAACTTTATTTTCCTTCAAATAAATATTTTTAAAACTTCCAGAAATCAGACAGTAACAGATTATGAGTTTACGTAAGAATAAAGAAAGGTTACTTTTTGTTGTCAAGCAACTTTTTCATAATATATTTGCCTATTACATGCCACATACCTCGATAACGATCTCTAATGAACGTTTATGTGAATGTATTGCGAAGTAAAAACTGCTTTAAATAGCAACGATAAAATTTTACAATTTTGATACACAGTACTTGAAAATAAGATTTTTAGTCAAAGTATATAATTAATTTTTGTCCAAGTTTTTAATATTAAACAGGTTTAATTTATGCCACACTAATGTGCGTATACGTGATATAATAATATTTGAATTATTGATGGCTTAATTAATGATAATTACGAATTTTTGCTAGCAAAGTCATTTTATTTTCTAGTTGAAATAAATATTCTGAAAAATATTATTACCAAAATTGTTGTTAGCAAATCTCTTTAATCGTCTATTGATATCTGTGAGCACTGAAGTATGTGCCATTCGTGCATCGCCATGAAGTATGTACGAATGGCACATATTTCAAATACTAATAGGGGGTGAAGATTCTCCGTGTTTAGCAGGTTATGTAATGTTTTTAACACCGATGACGTGATATATAACGCAGTAATTTATTTACAATCAGCGCAACACAAACTTCATTAAGCTTTAGTAGACTTGCTGATAAATTTATTATAGGAAATGAGTTCAAAATATTTTACGACAACACAGTATACAGAATGTTCACTCTTTACTAATTTATGTAGTTGTGAGACTAATCGGGGGTAGGACGTTTACGAGTTCTTGACTCTCCTACCTCTTACTCGACTCAAGACCTTGAGGTCCGTTCTCGCTTGTCTTAAGGATGGAAAAAAGGTTTAGGGAAAAGTATCGTTAGATTCTTTCTCCCGTCAGGATCTGACACCAATCTATCATTTTCTTAGCGAATAGATACGCGTTTAATTTGAGGAGGAATTATCACGAGCGATCTCATCGAGGACTTCGGGTTCAGTATGGAGATGATAATGTTCGAAGAAACGCACACCAATCCAAGTTCATTAACATTATACCCGTTTATTGTTGAGCATTTTTACATAGATG